ACCCACCTCGCAACCACCGCCACCACCACCGCACCCGCCGCCGCCACCGCAACCGCCGCCGCCAGCAACTCACCATCACCACCCCCGCCACAAAAACCAACCACCACTACCACCTTCACCGCCACCACAATCTACCACGCCACCGCCGACACAACCACAACCACTAGCAGCAGCACAACCCACCACCACCGCCACAAACCACCACGCCACCACCACCACAATCGCCACCACCATAGCCAACACCTCCACCAATCGCCGCCACCAACACAACCCACCACCACCACCACCACCACAAACTACCACCACACCACCATCAAACCGCCATCACAACCACCGCCACAGCCCACCACCACCACCACAAACCGCCACCACACCACCACCACGCCACCACCACCACCACCACCACCCACTACCACAACCACCACCACCACCACAAACCACCACGCCACCACCACCGCCACCACCACCACCACACCACCACCACCACCACTACAAACCACCACCACCACCACCGTCGCCCTCGCCGACGCCCCCCGCCGCCGCCGCCCGCCGCCGGCGCCGGCGCCGGCCCAGAAAGAGGAAATCATCGCCCCCGCCGCCGCCGCTGTCGGCGGTGGAGAAGGAGAGAGGAAAAGTAGGATAGGGAGGGGTGGGTTCGAACCCCCTCCGTCGCGGGAGGGGGGGCGGGGCGCGGTTCCCCCCCCTTCAAGCGACCACAGAACGCGCTCTTTCTCATCTGAGCAGCAATCTGCTCGCTGAATCCCACCAGCCCTTTGGGCGTGAGTGGTTTAGAGAGCTCTCTCTGTCCTCAAGCCCCCATCTTCCCCTTGGGGAGGGGTTTACCCCTCCCCCTACCCCCTCCCCCTGGACCTGGACAGGGACTCCGGGGTGGTGGCAGGAGGGTCTTTTTTGACTCCTGGGAGAGCTAAAAAACGACGACCCTCACGAGGATTCTGGCCCCGACGGGGGGATGCAGTTTGGCCCCTCTGCTCTTCTTTGAAGCCAAAATCATTGTTTTTACCAGGGTTTTGGCCCCATTTTGGCGTCCTGAGGGGGCCGCGCTCATCTTCCCTCATAGCAAAATCACTGATTTTACGAAAGTTTTGGGCTCATTTTGTCCTTCTCAGGGGGCAGCGCTCATCTGCGCTTCTGAGGAGGTCGCAAGAGGCCCCAAGATGGCCCCAAGAGGCCCCCAGGAGGCTCCCAAGAGGCCTCCAAGAGGCCCCCAAGAGGCCCCCAAGAGGCCCCAAGAGGCCCCCAAGAGGCCCCCAAGAGGCCCCAAGAGGCCCCCAAGAGGCCCCCAAGAGGCCCCCAAGAGGCCCCCAAGAGGCCCCAAGAGGCTCCAAGAGGCCCCCAAGAGGCCCCACGAGGAGCCCGAACGACTCACACCAGGACGAGGGGCCCGAACGACTCACACCACGAAGAGCCCGAACGACTCACACCACAAGGAGGGGCCCGAACGACTCACACCAGGACGAGGCGCCCGAACGACTCACACCACGAGGAGCCCGAACGACTCACACCACGACGCCCGAACGACTCACACCACGAGGACGCCCGAACGAGTCACACCAGGAGGAGGGGCCCGAACGACTCACACCAGGATGAGGGGCCCGAACAACTCACACACCACTCAGAAGCCCGAACGACTCACACCAGGACGAAGAGCCCGAACGACTCACACCACGAAGAGCCCGAACGACTCACACCAGGAAGAAGGGCCCGAACGACTCACACCAGGACGAGAAACCCCAAACGACTCAAATCACGAGGAGCGCTTTCTCTCCCTACTCCTCCTCCGCCTCGTCCTTCTCCCGCTCCCCCCACAAGGAGGATGTGCAAGGAGGCGGGAGGAACGAGGAACAGGGGAGATATGCGGGGCCAAGCGGACACACGCCTGAAAAACACGACTGTCGGCATGCTTCGCAAGAGTTGCTGCTGTGAGTTGGACTGGTGGGGATACGCGAAGCGTAAAGAATTTCTGCTGCCATGCAAGCGCGGTGATGCGCTGATGCCTGTGTTCCTGCATGTCGACGCTACCCAGACAGAGTCAGCTGGCGCCGCGGTGGCTACACGTAAAGGAAAAACGCTCAACGCACTGGCCTGCGACAATAACAGGTTTCCATTTCCGTTTATCCTGGGCACCGATACTCCGCCGCCGCTGGGCACTTCGGCCCCCGGGCACAGGAATCCACCCGGTTCGAAAGCCTGCTGGAAGATGATTGCGCGGAAAGGCAACTAGAGCCGCGGCCACCTCTCGACCTTGCGCGGCCAATCGTCGGCGACCCGAGTTTCGCGCGTCCGACAGGAATTGGGGACTTCGGAGGAGCAGGCGCGAGATTCATGTCTGTTCACCCCGTTCCATCTCCTGAGCTTGATGAGTTGAACCCAGCAAGTCGGGAAACTCCTCATCCACCCCTTCCATTTTCACGAATCACTGGATAGTGCGAAACCGCTGCGTGATTCCCGGCTAAACTGGACATCTGCACTGGTGACTCATGAAACTCCGCACTAGTTTCGGATCGCCCCTTCGGCCTGTTTGCGAATGGCGCATCCCACGCAGGCAGCCTCGAATGTTCACACAGTTTAGGCTCGGGAAAGCTCAGCGTGCCAAGTGGTGATTGGAAGATTTCTAGCAGCTCCGCATCTTGTGTCGAATGAAATGGCCAGAGATTGGTCCCCCCCCTGGTATACCAGCCTATTCGTCTTGCATCCTCATCCGACCGTCAGCTGGACTCCAGGATGAAGCGGCAGTTTCGCTCGCTGCTTCGCGCTACTCTACTTCCAGTCATCAACTGAAAGGAGGTATCCCCGATTTCTTGGTGCGGCACGTTCTATCTCTCCCATGTTGGCATCTTCTCTGCCGGGTCCACTAACGGTGCTAGAACTGACTGGCTAAGTCGGCCCTACCCGGAACAATGGAATCTGGCGGATCTTCACTCTGCAGGCTAATCAAGGGCAAGTCCATAGGCAACATGGACTGTGTATTCTGGCGCGGGTGATTTGCCAAGTCGCTATCATGAATTGGTCCATAGCTTCAGCTGGTAACCACTGATTTGCCAGAATATCATAATGTTCTGGAGTCGGGATTGGTATGCTAACTTGTTCTGCTACCGTCTCTGAATGTACCTCCTCAGTGGGCCGGGTCGTCATGGAACCCGACATGGAATGCACAAGGATCCGTTACGCGGACACAAACGGGTAGTGAGACGCGCGCGCTAAGAGGGGGCGCGCGCACCTGTTCAAGCCATTTGCGGCCTTTTACAGCTGCAGAGCGTACAAAGACCAACGACGATATCCAATGACGGCGGCGGCGGGGGCGGGAGACGGCGAGGATGGAGTCAGACTGACTGCACAGGCTGCATTACGTCGGCAAGCTCAGTGGAGTGGTCACGCTTTGCTGATGGGGCCTCGGTGACACGCACTGCTCACCGAGCCAGGTGTGAGGGCTCGGCAGAGGGTACTGGCCACGAGGGACCTGAGGAGGCCCAGGTTGAGTTGAAACGAAACGCGAAGGGAAGATCAAGGTGGACTTTTCCGTGCAGTGGGCTCATGTCTGAAGCGCGCTGGGCCAGACGTCACACTCGACGCGGGGCCCAACCTAGTGAGGACGCAGCTCGCCACAGTCGTGCGACGGTGACGGGGCGACTGCTGCGGCGGTCCTCCTGGCTGCGGTGGCGCAGCTCAACGTCGAGAAGCGCCGCCAGCGCGGCCAGCAGGGGGAGCGCGCCGACATGGACAGCGGCGGCAACCCACAACGCAACCAGCGCAAGCAGAACAACACCACGATGGAAGGCGAAACACCGCGTGACAAGGGGACACGCCAGCCGCCGCCGCTCAAGAGGCAGCGGAGAGGCCTGATGTCAAAAGCAAACAGGGTCCCGCCAGTCGCCCCACCGCCAGATACAGTGGGTGTGTACATCCCAGCTGCTGCGGCCAGGGGGCTCATCGTGTTCATCGGTGGCGGCATCATCGGTTGCCAGAAATGCGGCCTGTACCACGCAGAACAACTCCCTGCTGATGACCCGGGACCCGAAGGAGGTTGTGAGCGGTAGTAACAGGAAGTATCGCATCTAGCGATACCTCGGTGGGAAGCACCCCGCTGGCGAGAAGACCTTCGAGCCACCGTGGCGTCTGCAGGTGGGGGACCCCGAGGTGGAGTGGCTTCGGCTGGGCTAGGGAGTCGCTGGACCACATGTGCGAATTCATCATCGCCGTCGGACCAGTCCTGTAGGCCGTGGCTCTCCTGCTCACCGCCGCCGTCCTGGTTGCCGTGGGCAACGTCGTGTTGAGCCGCGCAGGCTTGCGCGCACGGCAGACAAGTTCCACTCGGCCGTTGCTGGCTAGGCTCGCCTGGCGGACCTCGTGGCCGACCAGGGTCGTGGTCGTTGTCATCATCATCATCACCATCATCATCATCATCATCAGCATCATCATCAGCATCATCATCATCATCACCATCACCATCATCATCATCATCATCATCATCATCATCAGCATCAGCATCAGCATCAGCATCAGCATCATCATCATCATCATCATCATCATTAACATTATCAGCAGCATTATCATCATCAGCATCATCACCACCAGTATCATCAGCACCAGCAGCATCACCATCATCAACATCGTCAGTATCATCATCCTCATCATCACCATTAACGTCGTCGTCATCGCCATCAGAAGTAGCAGCAAGGGCATACGTGTCTGGGGATCCCGTTCTCCAGTGACAGCGTTCTCACCTCTCAACAGAAGCACCGCGCCTCGTTCAGCTGCTTCTTGTTTTCGCAACACAATAGTATTCCCTGAAGAGTTCCAGGCATCGGAAGAAGCGGGCGTTAGTCAAGTCAAGTCAAATCATCAGCAGATTACCATTAGCATCGTCATCACCATCATCTTCATCACCATCATCATCATCATCATCACGACGACGACGACGACGGCGACGACGACGACGGCGACGACGACGGCTACGACTGGCCGCATTAGAGCGCGCGAGCCTCCACACAGCTTGCGGAACTCTGCATCCTCCCACAAAGCGGCTCCCGGGCGCGCCAGTCATCCCGCGATACCACTTCTCTGCCGACCAACCCCCTCGTCCTGCTCCTCCTGCTCGTCATGCTCTTGCTCCTCCTGCTCATCCTGCTCATGCTCCTGCTCCTGATCCTGGTCCTCCTCCCACAGCTCCAGATCCTGCTCCTGCTCCTGGTCCTCCTCCTCCTTCTCCTCCTCCTCCTCCTCGTGCGCGCCGCCGTGGGCCTCCTGCGGTCGGCAATCGCTGCCCACGCGGTCGGCACCGCCCGTACCCGCCGCGCCTCCCACGGCGGCGGTTTCGCCCGCTGCTGCCTCTCGGCGGCGGCGCCGCCCGCGCGGGCGGGGTGGGCATGCGGGTGCGGGATCGGCGACACTGGCGCTGGCGATGGAGCTAGACGCGGAGAGCGCGGAGGACCTGGGAGTGCGAGCTGCGCTGGGCGACGCGGCACGAGGCAAGGACAAGGACACGGGCGAGGGCGAACCGACGCCACTTGATGGCGCTGCAGCGCCGTTGGCGCTCGACGGCCCCTCCGACGGCGACCTGGACGACGAGTGGGCCGACCAGCTGGCACCGCGGACGAGCCTCCCAAGCCGCCCTGCCCTCTCGGGCCTGCGAGGTGGTGACCGCGGTCGTCTTCGTGACGGTCGCCACGGGTCGTTGTACGGTGACCCCGAGGTTGAAGACGGCCGCGTGTGCGTCTTGGTTTAGACTGGCCGCCGTGGGACGGTGGGGCAGATCCTTGTCGAGGACGTGGTGCCTGCCGTTCGGGAAGCTGGCGCTGACTTGGGCGGCGGCCGCGGCGGCGCCGGGCTCCAGAGTTCGCGGTCGGCACCGTTAGGCCCGTCCTCGTTCTCAGCACGGTCGGGGACCTCGCACCTCAAGTGATTGCAAGGTCCCCGCGGTCGCGCGCCCGTCGCCGTGTAGTCTTACGCGACTTTCCCATTCTGGGCAATCCTTACCTCTTCCCCCTCCTCCTCCTCCTCCTCCTCCTCCTCCTCCTCCTCCTCCTCCTCCTGCTCGTCCTCCTCCGCACCCCGGGGCCGGTCGAAAGAGCGGGCCTGGCGTTTCGCCTGAGTCTTCCTCACCAATTGGACTTCTACTGTTTCAGATTTCTAACACTTCCACGGATGGAGGTCGGGTCTTTTGAATAATGTGGCTCCCACCAGCCCACTGGGCGTAGATGGTTTAACGAATGGTTGTCTTCTCTCTGCCAAGCTCCCTCCTTCCCCTGTTCGGGGGAGAGGGAATCACTGGTCCCTACTGACATAAACCACCTCCCCAAAACGACTGACAACCAACCAAGAACAATCCTATACTAGGCTCCCCATCCCCTAACCATCCATGCCCAACAACAATCATACAATACACACTCTGCCTCCGAATTCAGAACCTGCGTAACCAATCCGATTCAGCCCCCCCCACCATTCGTCAAAAACTAAAACAAAATACACTTTGGAGCAAAGTCATGAGTCGCGTTCGTGAGGCCCGTGGGCACTTTGTATTCTTCTTTCGACAAGGACGGCGGGTGTGAAAACGATGTTGCTTGCATGCATACGCTTGCCCCTCGTCTCACCCAAGCCTCCTCCGTATGAAATGATGGCTTACCAGGGCCTTTGAGCTATAGGCGTTATCGGAAAACGTTTGTTAGAACACCTTGCCATATGTAGAATCGTGTCTGGAATTGCATATTCACATTAGCAACGGAGCAGTTCGACCCGCGGACTGCAAAGCTCGTGGTCTCGAGTGGATGAGTGGATTGCGCGCTATCAGGTGGATTGACCGCTAAGCATCTGATCGGACTGACGCTGGAGAACACACCACGGGATGTCCACGTGTTACTGAATTACTAATGATTCGTCCAATTCTCCAGCGAGATGGCGCAGAAAGCGACGCCAAATGATGACGAAGCTTGGGCCAATGCAGGTTCTGGCTACACCGTGAGTGCCAAGCTTCGACCCCCAAACGATGACCATGCAGGATTTCAGGCGCCGGCCCGACAATGCTGCAGGCAGAAGATGGTGTTCAAACGCTGCTCGATTTCCTCGCAGAGAAGATAGATGATGAAAAAGTGATGGCGCTGGGCACTGAGCTAAAGACATGCTTTACCATAATGCGACGTGAAGCTGCAGAGGGGATGAGAAGTTAGTTACATCAGTAGGTTCGACACGCAACTTTCGAGATTGAAGACATTGAGCAGAATTCCCCGACCAAGCGCTGGCGTGGCTGTTCATGTGGTGGTTAGGCCTTCCGCCAGACCGAGAAGCTGGAGTTCTGCCAACCAGAACAGGTATGAGCTCAAGCCGTTGCAGAAACAAATGCTACTCAACGTGAAGGACGCGAAGGCCCTGGACCGCAACATCCCGAGAAGACCGCCGCCACCGGCAGCAGTTACTCAACATCAGGACCTACTGGGAGTCGCCCGCTGCAGAGACGATGGGGAGCTCACATGACCGAGCAAGAGGGGGACGACGAAACTGCTCACAACGAGGCGTTTGAGACCGAGGCCGACGCGGAGGACCTACCGGAGGAGCTGCTCGAGGAGCAAGACGAAGCGGAGGCCGAGGTTTTTTCTAATTGGAGAAGATGCTTGCAAAATCCAAAAACTGGCAAAGAGATGCCAAACAAGCTCGAGGATTCTACCATCACGAACGCTTGCCAGCATCCGGCAAGGGCAGCTCTGGCAAGGGACGAGGTTCAGGAGGCGGCAAGGACAACGAGCGCATCGAGAAGCTGAAGGCACGAACCCATTACGCAGTTAATCACAAGTTTGGCCATTGAAGGGAGATCCCGAGTGTCCTGGTCCGCAGAAGGAGATTGTCCAGCCGAAGGTTTTCTCACGACTGCCATGAGCTGGAGCGCTAAGGAGCAACAGATCGCCAAACAGAATTTCTTCGTCCATCCGAAGCCCACCCACGACAAATACCCGACGATGAATGTGGTCATGGCCTCGAAGGAGGAGCTACTACAACAATGCGGTGGAAAGGTATTGCCAGATTCTTGTTGTGCTAAGGCCGTTTGAGGCCAGTTTTGGTATGATGATATCAAAATACGTTTCGCCAAGTTGATATTGTAACCGATCGAGATTGCCGAACGAGAGATAGTTCGATTTGGAGCTGAAGCGCCAGTTGTAAGCAGACTCACCGCTCTCATTCCTATCGCTATTCACGGACGACATTTCACCATGAGGATTTCTATTGTGCCATGCATGGCGCCGAGATTACCATCTCAACGTGCGCTGGGACAACACGACCATGGCGAAGGAGTCGGCAAGAGTACCATGATTTTCAGGAAGCTTGAAGTGGAGAGCCTGGAGTTGGGCAGACCAAGAGCGATCACCCGAGTTTCAATGTGCTTGAGTTCGACTGTGCTAGACTTTTCTCAATGGCTCCAAACGTCAGCCCCAGCCAGATTGAGATCAGGCTACTTCCGCGTTCACAGAGGTGGTTGAGGGTACTGGACAAGGGAAGTCATCAGCATCAGGATCACCATAGCATTCATCAAGCGAGTCAAGCCGAGCCCGAAGAGCGATACGATCAAGTACGAATTCAAAATGAAGAAGCCGAGGAACGATACGATCAAGTACGAGTGCATAACCAACTCCAACGAGGTCAATCCGAACCAGAGCGAGAACGAGACCAAGCACGACAATAACAAGCTGAACGAGATAAGCCAACACCGTGAAAGCCAAAGCTTGAGAACATCATAAAGGACAAGCAACAAGCAGAACATAGAGCAAACAAAAGTCTCAAGACCAGCACGGACCCCACTCAGAACATACGACATGGGCAGCAATCGACGGCTCAAGCGAGCTTAGAAGATAGGACGCCCTCGACACGACATGCCAGCAATTGCCGTCCCTGCATGGGCCCAGAATTGGGACATCTTGGACGTGGACACCGACAAACGCTACGATACGGCCTCTCTAGTACGCTGGAAGCGCCAATTTCGGATGATGTACACAGCGGTGGTGATGGCATTGGATCCGGCCGTGGGGCTAATCCTTCACCATGGACGCCGCTACAGGGCATCATGCACAGCAAGATCGAGCGAGAACCCTGGACACCGCGTCGTCTGCTGCCGCTGGGCAACATGGTCAAGGCGGAGCTCCAGGACGAGATGGAAGACAACGAGTCGGAGATCCAAGGTCTAAGCTGCCGGGAGATGCGAGTCATTCCCAACGACAAGAGGACTCAGAACGGCCAGATCAAGAAGACGCATTCGCTGGCGACCCCGACCTACAGGGAATCTCAAAGATGAGACGCGCGGAGCTTATCGCTCTGGCCAAGAAGGAGGGTATCAAGGCCCCCAAAGACATGCTCAAGGACAATATCATCTGCTTGTTTCAGGGACAAGTTCCGAAAGCGATCGAGAAGGGCGAGCTGAAGGAGGAAGAGGCACTGCGGCAGCTTTCAACTACGATAGGTGCTTCGAGTGTCAAAGAGATTCCTAATGCCAGGGGCGACACTTTCTGCTCAGCTGGATTCGAAGAAGTATCAGAAGAAGAAGAAGAAGAAGAGTGGGAGCTGCTAAGAGGAGCCGCTCTGCGGCGGTGAGCACCGCGCGAGGAAGGACTCGAAAATGTTGCGGGCGTCAATTATAGTGTCGCATTCGGAAGGCTCTGGCCCGCGCCCGGCCTCCATGCCGCGGCGGATCGCCGCGGCAGGTCGGGCGCTCGCCACGCGCGTTGGCGCCGAGAGCGCTTTGAGCTTGAGAGTCCCTTTTGCTGACTTCTCGAGCTTGCGGATGGGAACCCAGTCGCTTGACCGCCAGACCTTGTAGGTCGGGCGCGCGCGCAAGACGAGGTCGAGACTTTCTTCGCCTGGGAGCAGGATGCCCCATCGCAGCAGCGGGTCGCTATCCATATAGACTTGCCAACGACGCCGTGCCATGGTCAGGCAGCACGCGAACCTGGGACAACAGAGCAGGTTCGGCGCGTGGTCGGCCTCGCTCTTGCAACCAAGGGAGCATAAGCGCTTGCCGCTGGGGTAAGGGATCCGCCACGAAGTTCGCCGGCCTCCTGCTTGCGATCGCAGGAGAGCATGCGCCCATGCTGGGCGCATGGCTGCAAGTAGCTGCTGTGTGCGCCACCATGGTGCGAGTCGGATCTCGGCAGCACGGTCGGGGAACCATTTCGTCCAGCGTTGGATTAAGAGCGGGGTGGTACCTGCCTGCCACGTTGGTGGGAGTTGCGGAATCGACCACAGCTCCCGCTGGTGTCACTATGCGGTGAAGATGTCGTAGCTTACCTTCTGGTACATGTATGTGGTGCGCGGGATAGCTAGCTTTGCCCTGGTCACTGCGGTGCCTTGCAAGGCATCAGGGGCGACAACGGCCGTGGCCTAGAATGGAAAGAACAGGACATGGCGGGAGCTCTGCCAGAGCGCGCTCATCTACCCATCTGCCCGCTGCGGCAAGATAGCGATGATGGACTTCCGTAGACAGCGGGTCGGTAATGAGCGCCGAACGGATGAGCGCTGCATGACCCGTCCACCGTGCCACCCCCCCACTCGCGCAGGAAGCAATACATAGTCCATCAAGCGGAAGGTGCCACTGGCCTGCAGATCTCAACAAGCTGGTGGATCCCCTCGGAGGCGAAGTGCGCGGGACGCGGTGCCAACTGGGCGACGTGGTTGCGAGTCGGCATCGCACGGGGGTTTCAGAACCAGGCGCTGGTGCTCATTGGGGCGGTCGTCGCTGCCGGGGCGGCCACACTGTACTTGAACTTGTGCCATGGCACTTTCCAGTTGAGAATGAGGTCAGCCGGAAGCCCCAGGCAACAGCCGAGGTAGAGCAGGTTGCTGGCGATCGCGAAGTCACTCCAGGAGGGGATCAGCTGTTCTAGGGTTGTTGTTGATGGCGGCGGCGAGCTGGTCATCGTAAGGGGCCTCCAGCGGCACAACCTTGCATTTCGTAGTCTTCGGGCGCAGCGTGGCGTGCTTAGCCGCCACACCCAGCAGGTTGGCGAGGTTCGGGAGGGTGCTGAGAGAGTAAAGGACGCCTCCGATGTCGTCAACGAAAGCTTTGAACATGCCCATGGTGGCAGATTCCAGAATGGCCTCCAATGGGGTGATGACGGGGATGTTGGCAAGCGCGTGCAGGGTGCCCGACAGTGCGCACCATTGTATCATGCCGCGACAGGCTTGAATAAGGCTACCAGCATACTATCCACTACTGTCACTGCTGTGACAACAGGCGTACAGGCCACGCACTCAAACCAGGAAAACTGAAGGAACATAAAGATCCTCTATGACAATCGTGCGAACATCCTGGGACAGGTTCGGAAAGGCCTGGCCAAAAATTGCGGCGATTAGAAGCAGACGTTCGTAACGTTCAGCACCAGGCTTGAAACTGACGATGCACGCTTCGACATCCAGCTCCAACATGTTGCCTGTGAAGCGCCTGTGAAGGCACCGTGTGGAAGAGGAGGAGGAGGAGGAGGAGGAGGAGGAGGAGGAGGAGGAGGAGGAGGAGAGGGGGAGGAGGGGAGGAGGCATGGGGAGAAACATGCGCGTCCGCGCGTACGCGACAAAGCGCGCGCTGACGTGTCCAGCGGGGAAGGCGAAACGGGCCGAAGACGGTGAAAACGACGACGACGACGACGACGAGGAGGAGGAGGAGGAGGAGGACGAGGAAAAGGACGATGACGACGAAGACGACGACGAAAACGACGACGACGACGTATGGGGAGGGGGGGCATCCACCCGGTGCCTGCGCGGAAAAGTGCCGCAGGATCTTGAGGGCCACGATTGTGGAGGTCAGGTTGTCGATCACCTCCCCGCTGTGGTCATAATGAAGGAAAAGGCGGGTGGGCTGAGGGGGGGGTCGCGAGGTGGGTCGCGGACGAATCGCGGGCCAGGGCGCGGGGGGGGCGACGACAACGAACAAAAAACAACAAACGCCGAGCACAAAAACAATCAGTTTAAGACTGTTCGCTCATATTTGCTCGCGTGTCATTCAATATCCATACCCCAAACCCTCGACACCCGCCCTCTTCGCATTCGATCGTACCCCCTTTTGTGGGGGTATATTACTTCCCTGCCGCGCGTGGTTGGTGAAGCCATGGAACAACGAAGGTTCAATAACGGGGGAGAATGAGGACGAAGGGATCGGAGGGAGGGGAGGGGCAAGAAGGAGGGAGGACGATGATTTGCGCTGTGAGTGGCGGTTCAGCTTGCACCATTGCTTGCGCCAGCCACTCCAACACCGGTTAACAATAAGTTTCGCCATGGGCCGCGCCATAAACAGCGCCACGTACCACCCCCTTGAAAACATACATATCGTGGATACCCCCACGGGGGGGCGTACGTACAGCTGAACAAATCCCGTGGAACCCTGAGAAGAAACGGGAAGCGGGATGTTGGGAGTGGGGCGGTAGGATAGTCAGAACCGCAGACATGTCGAGAGGAACGCGGGGATGTGAAGTGGATTGGCCACGAAGGGCATGCATATGGGGCCACGGCGGGCGCGAACGAGCGGGGACCACGAAGGGCATACATATATGGGGCCATAGAGGGCGACAGCGGGGCCACTGAACGCAGAAAGTGGGCCGCAGAAAGTGGGCCACGAAAGGCAGCGAGGGGGCCACGAAGGGCGACAGCGGGGCCACGAAGGGCATGAGTATGGGACCACGAAGGGCGCAAGCGAGCGGGGGCCACGAAGGGCGACAGCGGGGCCACTGACGGCAGCAAAGGGCCACGAAGGGCAGCGAGAGGGCCACGAAGGGCGACAGCGGGGCCACGAAGGGCATGCATATGGGGCCTCGACGGGCGCGAACGAGCGTGGGCCACGAAGGGCATTCGTAGGTGGGGCCACAAAGGGCGACAGCGGGGCCACTGAGGGCAGCAAGGGCCACGAAGGGCAGCGAGAGGGCCACGAGGGGCGACAGCGGGGCCACGAAACACATGCGTATGGGGCCACGAAGGGCGCGAGCGAGCGGGGGCCACGAAGGGCATATAATGCGGGGCCACAATGGGCAGCGACGGGGCCAATGAGGGCAGCAACGGGGCCACGGAGGGCAGCGAGCGAAGGCGACCGCGGAACCAATACGGGCAGCGAGGGGCATCGAAGGCGGGCGGAGGGCAGCGAGCGGTGACTGCAGTCCGTAACGGGCTGGTCGGGCGGGCAGGTCCAGACGGGCGGGTCGAGCGGGCGGGTCGTTGAAGCGTCAATTCTGCTTGAACCGCCAAGCAGTCTGTAGCGGGAGCGCGATTCCTGACTGTCGAGGAGCATCTGGATAAATTGTGGGGAAGTATCAAGCGGGAGCCGCGATTCGATTGTACGTTGCGAGGAAATCCCAAGCGAGAGCGCGATTCTTCAATCAAGTGTAAGGAAGTATCAAGCGGGAGCCGCGATCCGGCGGTAAATTGCAAGGAAGTCCCAAGCGAGAGCGCGATTCTTTAATAACTTGTGAGGAAGTATCAAGCGGGAGCCGCTGTTGTTGTAAACCGGGGGCCAACAACGCAGTTTGACCCTCAAGACTTTCCTTGATAAAATACAGTGTGCGAGCCCCGGGAATGGCACTTCAATGAAAAAAGAGCACCGGACGGGGGGATTAACAATGATAATTTTCAGAAATGAGGAATCAACAATAACAACAACCACCACAGCAACAACACCAACAAACACAACAACAACAACAACAACAACAGCAACACCAACAACAACAACAACAACAACAACAACAACAACAGCCATCATTTTACCTCACGCGCGATATTTCCACACGAAGCATGCTACCATCATGATAACCATGCACATCGTGGGGGACTCTTGTTCTATAGCGGGGTCCGTTATTCCCATTCCCAGGTCTCCCGCCCAATGAGGTCTTGCAAACACCTCCTCCGAGAAATTTCAACATATCCCACCTCGAAAACACATGCCCGCGCCTTGCTGCGCCGATGCGAGACCGCCAGTGGAACCCAAGCAAAGGGTAAAGCACAAGAAAGTATCGAACGACAGGATTGCCTTGGTGGGGATGGGGGCTGTCAGCGGTGAGGTAAGGACCTGGCCTTGAATAGAAAGGGAGGAAGTCTCGAGCAGGGCTGCTGTTGTTGCTGGGAGCGGCGCCAATGCTGAAGAGAGTAGGGCGCTAGTCCAGCGTAAAACAAAACGAAGTCTCTAGTGGGAACGCTGACTTGGTTGGGACGGCGGCTTTTGGCGGCCGCCTTGAGTAAGAAAGGATGAAGCATCGAGCGGGAGTCGTGGTTTTGTCGGGACGTGGACTGCCGGCGGCGAAGAACCGCACTTTCCGAGGAAAAACACAGGAGATCTCGAGCGGGAGCGTTGTTCTTGCTGGGAGCGGCGCCAACTCAAAAGACAGTAGGGCGCCAACCCAGCGTAAAACGGAAAGAAGTCTCGGGCGGGAGCGCTGGTTTTGTCGGGGCGGCGGTTTTCGGCGGCGAGGAGGAACACCGCCTTGAGTAAGAAGGGGGGAAGCATCGAGCGGGAGCCGTGGTTTTGTCGGGACGGGGGGTGTCGGCAGCGAGGAGCAGCACCGTTTTCGGGAAAAAGGGAGGACACCTCGAGCGGGAGCGTTGTTCTTGCTGGGGGCGGCGCCAATTCAAAAGAGAGTAGGGCGCCAGTCCAGCGTAAAACGGAAGGAGGTCTCGGGCGGCAGCGCTGGTTTTGTCGGGGCGGCGGTTTTTGGCGGCGAGGAGGAACACCGCCTTGAGTAAAAAAAGGAGGAAACCTCGAGCGAGAGCGTTGTTGTTGCTGGGGGCGGCGCCGATGAGAGAAAGACTAGTGCGTCAGTCCAAGGTAAACGGGAGGAAGTCTCGAACGGGAGAGCTGGCTTTGTTAGGACGGCGGCTTTCGGCGGCGAGCAAGAACACCAGCCCTGAGTAAAAAAGGAGGAAGTCTCGAGCAGGAGCGTTGCTGTTGTTGGGGGGCGGTTTTGGCGGTCCCCCAAACCTCTCGAGCGTGAGCCTCAGTTTCAATGAAAATGTAGCCGGCGCCTCGGCGAGAGCGCCAGGGCGCTTAGAAGGGGTCCAACAATAATAATTGCTTAGTAACTAACGTTCAACAACACCAACAGCAACAATCATGTTAAGACTGTTCCCTCTAATCTGCTCGAGTGTCCGTTAACGCGTATTCCCCAAACCCTCGATACCCGCCCTTTTTGTCTTAGATCATGTCCTTTTTGGGTGGTATACCTTTCTTCCCCGCAGGCCGGGCCCCGGCAAGCTGCGGGGCGGCCGCGGACCGTCGGCCTGGCCAGCGGCAGCGCTCATCGGCGGCAGCCCGACCCCAAGAGGGACGGACAGGGGACCGACGACGACGACGACGACGACGACCACGACGACGACGACGACGGCGACGAGCGAAAGCGTGAGCGAGAGAGGGAACGACAGCAGGGCCACGAAGGACACGAAGTAGTCCATGAATGGTGACAGCGGGGACACGAAGGGAATGCGTATGGGGCCACGAAGAACGCGAACGAGCGGGGGCCACGAAGGGCAGATAATGCACGGCCACAGAAGGCAACGTGGCCCCAGCCCACATAGGCCCCAAGCGCGCCAACAGAGGTCCCAGCGCGCTGCACACTAAGGCCCCCAAACACAGCCCACAGAGGCCCCGAGGGCTTCCACAGAGGCCCCGAGCGCGCCCACAGAGGCCCCCGCGCGCTGCCCACTGAGGCCCCCGACGCCGCCCACAGAGGCCCCCAGCGCGCACGCAGAGGCCTCGGCCCGCAGAGGCCTCAAGCGCGCCCACAGAAGTTCCAGCGCGCTGCCCACTGTGGCTCTCGACGCAGCCCACAAAGGCCCCAAGCGCGCCCGCAAAGGCCCCCGCAAGCTGCCAACTGAGGCCCTCCGGCGGAGCCCACGCAAGCCCCAAGGGCGCCCGCACAGGCCCCAGCTCACAGAGGCCCCAAGCGCGCCCACAGAGGCCCCCGCGCGCTGCCCACTGAGGTCTCCGACGCAGCCCACAGAGGCCCCAAACGTGCCCACAGAGGCCCCAGCCCGCAGAGGCCCCAAGCGCGCCCACAGAGGCCCGGGATCGTTGTCCACTGAGGCATCCGATGCAGCCCACAGAGAGGCCCCAGCCCACAGAGGCCCTAAGCGCGCCCGCAGGGGCCCCAGCGCGCTGCCAACTGAGGCCTCCGACGCAGTCCGCAGAGGCCCCAAGGGCGCCGACAAAAGCCCCAGCCCGCAGAGGCCCCAAACGCGCCCACTGAGGCCCCCGCGCGCTGCCCACTGAGGCCTCCGACGCAGCCCACAAAGGACCCAAGCGCGCCCGCAGAGGCCCCAGCTCGCAATGGCCCCGAGCACGCCCACAGAGGCCCCGACGCGCTGCCCACTGAGGCCCCTGACTCAACCCACAGTGGTTCCAGCCCCCAGAGGCCCCAAGCGCGTCCGCGAGGCTCCAGCGCGCTGCCCACCGAGGCCCCCCAACGCAGCCCACAGAGGCCCCAAGCACCCAAAGAGGCCCCAGCCCGCAGAGGCCCCAGGAACGGCGCTCTCGCATGAGACTTCTTCGCAATTCAATCAAGTTCGCGAGTGCCCACCCGCGACGACAAGGGTCCCGCTCGACATTTCTTGGCGATCTACCCAGGAGGCCCTGAACAGAGAGGTTTCCGAACTCAGGAACAGCGCTCTCGCTAGATACTTCCTGGTATCTCAGTCAAATTAGTGGGGCGCAGCCGCGATGACAAGGGTTCCCGCTCGATGCTTCCTCGCGATATGCTCCGAGAGGCCCCTTCTCGTGGTCCATCCTTCTCTTTTCCCATCCGCCCTCCCTTTCCGTGTTTTAGGGGATCCCCTCTGGTGCACACT